AAAATAAAAGCAAATTCCAACAAAAAAAGGCACCGCCCGCACCCACGGTTGGGCACACCGCAAAGAACAGCGACAATCCATAATGAAGGCCACACCGATAAACGCGTGGACCGCACGATCACACACTCGCCCCCACCCACAAGAAACGCCAGCCGCAAAAAAGGCAGCGGTGGCAGCGACTGTTGTGCGCAGCCCAAAGAAACATCCACACGCACCCGCACGGAGAGTCCGCAGTTTGTGACGCCTCCCGCAGAAATCAAACAACAAAAAACAAATTCATACACACCTCGCTTACCGTCTCCCCCACTCAGCCCCTTCAAACCCTGCCAGCATCACCACGCAGTGCGCAATGCCGGCGGGACCTCCCATCACGACCCCCACAAACTCCCCAACGCCCCCCACTTCCCTCAGCGCACTGCAGCAGGAGTGGGGTGCAACATTAAAAAAATAAAAATGAAAACATAAAAACAATAAAAATAACGACGCATGCAGCCCCCTTTCCTGCTGCTTCGTTACGCTTGCAAGCGAGGGCGACGCCAGCGCAGCCGCAGCCTCAGACTGCCCGGTAAGTGCGTGCTGCCCGAACAAAACGGAACAGGCGCATGCGCCCAGGACGGCAAACCAACAAAAGAGAGGCGCCAACGGCGTTTGCTCAAGGCTCTCAGCGGTGCAAGCGGCACCCCCCATTGGAGCACAGACGAACCAAAAACGATGGCACCCAAAAAAACAAAAGAGAAAAATACCACGCCAACGCGCAAAAGCAATCACAATAATTCGGTTTGCCCCTGACTTCTGGGCTGTGGTGGCCGCCGCAATTGCCTTCCCGCCTGTGAGTCCACTCAGCATGCAAAACTTACCCTCTCGCCCAAACTCTCTGCAACAACAAACTGGGAACAGCAAGGGGATATCACCAATGGAATACTGCCGGCGTACACCCACAAGGCGCCATCATTCCCCACACAATTTTACTCGCAGCCACAACAAAAAAAAAGTGCTGCTGTGGTAGTGCTGGCCGCAATAATCATTCGGCGCACGGCAGAACGAGTCCCTAATTACGCCTCCTACCCACACACAAACACACTCGGCAATATATAATACTCCCTAAAATATTTCACCAGTAAACTCAAGCTGTTTATTCCCCTCCTCCTTTTCCTTGTCCCTCTGGTTGCCGCCCACGTTGGGTTTGTCGTTCACTTCTGAAATTTTCAGCTGATACCGCTACCTCGCACTGACGCACCTGCTGATTCCAAAATGCCGCGATGGCCTGAGGGCCCTCACGCTCATTGCTGCCCGTTGCATTTGCGTGCGCGACGACAACACATCCCTGCCACGCGTTTATTGCCGTACTGTCCTCATGATGCACGTAAATAATCTCCCACGACAAGTCTTCCGCAAGCGTTTCCCAGTCATTAAAATAATTCCGTAGAAAATTGTTGAACTGCACCACCGTGCTGATTCTGGTGCCATGCTCAGCCCTCGTCGTCTCACCTGCACCGCAACCATCGTCCTCCGCGGTGCACCAACGAAGAAAAAACCGTCCACAAGCGGAAAATGTCTGCTCTTCGGTACGTATAGCACCCCGCATTATGCATGCAACATGGGAGCAGTGTGGTCCAGCGTTATTAATGCAACGGGTCTGCTTGGATGCTTTTCGGGGTTCGATTGCAGCACACATCTCTGTCGCCGACGACGTCCTGGTGGAGGCAACTCGTTGAGGCCCGGCATTATATTTTCCACAAAGTCTCTACGCAGGAATGCGTGCAGAGTGCACCGCCCCAAAAGTTCCGGAAATAACACTCTCCGGTACTTCAATAGTCGAAAAATAATGCCATTCTCCTCATCCACCTCGAGCAACCTTCCAATTAATTTGCTTTCAATGGAAAAACAGGCCGGCATGTTCACAAACGCCTCAACATTTTTTTGTGTTATTGATCGGACAACTTTCACAAGTTTGTGAGAAGCGTCATTCGAGGGCCACTCTTCCACACCTCCAATCATCCCATAATGTACAGCATTTGAAGCGTCGATACCTGCCAGGATGTCCTTGATTTCCTCCACACCGTCCTTATACTCATTGAATTGAAAGATGCATCGTGGAATCGGTCCGACGTCATGCATGTGCATGTGCATCCTTCTCCAATACTCCACCTGCTCCTCTTCAGTAGTATTGCGTGTCTCTCATGCACACATCGCCTTCACGTCATTTTCATCGGGGCAATTCATGATGATTTTGATAGTACCCGCCTGCTCCGTCCATGCTTTGAAGTTATCTTCGTGGGGGGACGACAACGTAATGATGCCCCACTCATCGGAGGGCACAACATCATTCGATGGCTCTCGAAAATGTATTGCCATATCGATGATGATGCACCCTTTCATTCCACTTCTGGCCTTATTTACCATAACATCGCCAATATTATTCTCACCCTCGTATATTGTCACCGTTCGTGTCCTCCTGTCAAACAAGTATGCGAAATCCCTTCCAAAGCAGTACACAACCACATGGAGCTTCGTGGCGTCGCAGTGCAGCAGCTGATAAAGGAGGTAGGAGCCAGCCGCCATTGACTTCCCTATCCTGGGGGTTCCAATCAAAAGATGACGTCTCATTTTAGGTGCGTCTGTATCTGGAGGGGGAAACACTCCTTTTAGATCACCCTCGACAATCTTCCACACCCGATGCACCTCAATGTTAATGTAGCAGTCGGTAATAGGCACTGCATGCTCCAGCGAGTACAGCCATCGCTTTTCAGAGGAAAGGATCATAAGTCGTGGGCGTGGTGGACGGAATTGCTCATCACCACCCACTGAGAAAAAAGTACGCACAGTCTGCGTGTACTCCCATAACTCTTGTGGCCGTTGGCCCTCTATCACCACCATGTATTCATCTTCGTCCTCAGGAAATCCCATGACGTGACTCCACGTTGCGTTAAACACGGACTCGTAGAATGCCTCCGGTGATGGTCATCTGGGGTGTATTTCGGTTTCCCGTGTTGCCCCTTCCTCCTACGCTAGTTGAAGAGTTGCCTTCAGTTTTGTTCGTGTAATAGCAGAGACAATACCCCTTATCTGTAAATTCCTTCCAGTCTCGCAGCGTGCCCACCATGCGCTCCGTAAGCTTGCGTGCATCTTCCGAAAGCTGATACCCTGGTGGAATCGAGGATTCCTTTACGACGCCTCTGCTCTGTAACGTACCTGTCTGGCCCACGCACAAACACCTCCATCCACACATTTTGGTCTTCACCCACCGCTCTGTTGGGGCCAACGTACTGCCGAAGGAAGTCGTTCAGCAAAATTCCGTTGCTTTGACCAACCCGCACATTACGGGCATCCTCGATAGAGCCTGCAAGCGTCCTCCTTGGCCGCTGCGGCGCTCCTTCCACCCTTCAATGCTCTGCGGGGGCTCCTCGGTGCCGTGAAATTCTTCCTCGCGTCTCTCAGACATGTTTTCCTTCGTAGTGGTTAACTTGAGTTGAACTGCAGCACAATACTCAGCCAGCAGTCAAAAGGGAGAATGAAATTATTTAAAAAAAAAAAAGAACAGAGACACGACTCCACGCAGCCGCAATGAAAACAAGAGAGAGAGAGGGCCACCGACACACACGGCACGCGGCACCCACCTATACACAAACAACGAGGGCAAATTAGATCTCCCTAGGCAAACCGTGCAAATTGCACGGCACACACAACAACTGCGACGAGGTGTCTCTCTTCTTCTCGTATTGCACTTGACATTCGGATCCCCACAGCTCTGTGTGTGCGTAGTCACACGCAAATATCACCCACTCACAGTGAAATTGACTGCCTCGTCGCGGTGGCATTTTGCGCCGCAA